AAAAAAAAAAAAAAAAAAAAAAAAGCAAAAGACAACTGAATCTATGCAATGATGCAAGAATGTTCATACATTGATATAAATATATTTTTTGCAATATGATAAAATACATAACTTCGTTATCTCACTTTGTTCGTATATTCTACGTGAAAGACGTTAAAATTTCTAAAAAATGGTTCTTTTTTCTTGGTTTTAATTTCAAATATAAAATATTTTATAAAATCTGCAATAAAATAGAAACTTTTAATACACTTGACTCTGAAACAATTTGTAAATAAATTTAAAATAGTATACAAACAATATATTCGATATATCTAAAAGTATCTCACATTCAAGGCCAGACTATTATTTTTCTGTATTCTATCTTCATGATAAAATTTTTTTGCGTTAACAAATTTTTAATTCATCATATTTTTCGTATCGTTTGAAAACTGTATGCGCTTATCATTTATTCATAATTTTCGTATAAAATTTTTAAAAATGCATTATTTATATTTTTTTCTATTTTTTTCGAAACTTATTTTGGAACATACATATATATGTATATAATCGAGATGATTAAGATTTTCTTTGTAAAAAACATTGTTTATAATTTTATATAACGAACTAAACACTTTTGCAATAATTTCTCAATCAACAAGTGCTTTGTTATATTGAACATCAATATCTAAATGTGTATTTTAACAATTTAAGCGCCACGTAGCATAACAGCGTTGCTCATAATCTACATCGAAAAATGCCGCAAATGCTAGTTTTCTTCTATGCTATAAGCATTAATAATACAAAAATTTTGATAATAATTTTACATTGTAAAACACAAATATCTTAGCGAACCCATAACTGTAAGCTATAATGTATTTAAACATTTTTCGATCAGATTCTTGCAATAACTCGTAGCACTCAAACGGTTAACACGTGCTATACAGCGCATAAAGTTTTGGACAATCGATATTAGTTATACGTACATAGTTTTCTCATTTATTATTGTATTGATCAATTTTTTTCCATGCGATATCAAGTAAATAGATATTTTTGTCTGCCACAGACTTCGTGCGCTTAATAATTCTATCAACGTTAAGAAATATAGCGCTTATTCTTAATAAGAATATCAATTATCATATCAATATAAGACACCATAATACACAACAACATTTTCAATTTCAATTCAAAAATGTTTGTTCAAACGTTGTTCGTACTATGTGCTGAATGATTTATCTCAAATGACTAACCATTCATTCAAAACTTCCAAATACAGTAGAAACATAATTATCCGTCCTGATGCGATCCATTGGGAGAATATTTGAATATTCTGGTCCATTCGAAGATGTAGTAATGTTAACAAACCGTGTAAATAGTTACATACATATTGAACACTGTAATCTTTCCTTATCATTATTATATAAAAGAAATAGACTTCATAGATATATTTCTTTTTTAACGTTTTATTCGTAGGAAAAACACTGACAATGACTCTGAATAGACCAGTTAGAAACTTTTCAACGGGTATACAAGTTTACCCATTCTATAGAAATTATTTTCAGTTGACTATAAATTGTGTAAATGTACATAATATGTATCATTTTGTAAGGTTTAACGTATACTGTACGATTAGAGTGCATTGCTTAACAAGCGATAAAAATATGTAAAGACTGAGTTTTTTTTTAATGTAATATACACACATATATATATATGCACTTACATTTATGATTCTAAATATAAGTAAATATATATATATATGTATATGCATATAGAATCGCGCTTGTTTTTCACTCTCTTAATTCGGTTAAAATCGGATTTGTAACCCTGGATCGTAGCACTATATCCACTCGAAAGTGTGATAAGTGAGTCAACAATATCTACTTATTTTGTTATTTAGTATTCTTGATCATAATGTTCCAGTTTAATGAAAAAATGGTTTTCTGTATAGGTGATACCTGTGTGAATGTTATTTTGAACCGGTCTTGTCTGCACTCTTTTGCCCACACATCGTCCTTTCCTTAATCTTCATAGGAAACATCGATGAACCATCGCGATTTGAGCACTTGAACATTCCTATAAGCTAATCAATCGCCAGTTTTATTTCCATTCGTCCGATCGAATGTTTTCCTGGCACTTTGAAAACGATTTCGTATTCCGTACACTTTTCAAGGTAGGATACACATACACGCTTCATGAAAACAGTAATCGTATATTTTTTCTTGCACTGTTTATCACTGTAGTCGGTGGTTGGAAAATATTCAGATAAAACAATGAATCCGCGGTAAGAAAAACCAATTTACACAACGACGATGACGACAATGACAGCACGCAAATCGTCCCTGTTTTCCATCAATGAGAAAAGCATACAACCTTATGACATCGAGGAACAGGGTAAACGCGGCGATCCCATCTGCGTGAGTACTCTATCGAGCCACTGTAATGGACCATTTAAATGCAACTCGATCCAACAAGGAGTCGACGTGACGGTTTGCCGACGATATGCCGCTCCCCAACCTTTTACAAAACTCATTCTGATCGTACACATTCGAGTCAATTGATACACAGCTTCGAATCCTTGTGAAACCGATTGCGATAACAATGCCGCAAATTCTTGATTGTTGAATATCTTCAAATTGCAACCTGTAAGGAAAAAAGCATCTAATGTAAAATATGCTTCCATTTCTTTATTAAAGAACACGTTGAATTATATCTTTACCGGGTGGTATTTTACAAACAGTGGCTGGATGCCAACCATAACGTTGATTACAATTAGGACTTTGCACAAAAATGCTCGAATCGGATAAACATTCGGCAAATACTTCACCACCAATATAATATAATCTAGCTCCTTTTCCGATATGTCGTCTCGTCTGTTCGACTACGGTATTTCGGTTTACGTTCGATAATAAACCCAAACAGAAACGTTCAGAATTACTGGGATCAGTGAATCCATCCACCGTTATGCTCGGTTGCGATGCATGAAAAGTCTCGCCTACTCTCGTATTTAGTTCATAGTAACTTATTGAACACCTAAGGAAAAAGAGAAGAAAGATAAATACATATAAAAGAATTGCTCCAATCAAGAATTAATCGTGCAATCAAATTGCAAAACAACTCGAATTTATTTGGCACAAGTAAATATAATTTATAGAGGATCTCTCACCAAAATGCTGGTTCACAGTACATCACTGGTTGTGCATCTACAGGACTGGGAGACAAACGCGATAAGGACATATTATCGTTGTGATCCATGTTATCACCATCTTCACTTATATAACCTGGAGGAGGAGTATCAGCAGGTGGATCCATAGATCCAGGTGCCGGATGTGGTGAACCCTGAACACTTCCTAGACTACCAACACTAGCCGGACTTGTTGCCTGCATACTCTAAAGGAAAATAAAAATTTTCAATCCAATATTTTTCGGATGTTATTACTCGAGACATAAAGGAAGTGTATATTCGATACTAACCTGCATTCCTTGATATGGATTGTTCGGTGGCTGTTGTTGTTGTTGCTGTTGTTGCTGTTGCGGCGATTGTGGTATACTTTGTTGATTATGGTGCTGGTGATTTAAAGTCGCGTGGAAACTCGTGTTTTCTGGCACACTGACACTGAGCTCCTCGATGGAAGTGTTATAAAGGACGGACTCGTCCCCGGCTAAATTATGCCGAGGTACGAGAATAGCTGGCAAAACTGTAAAGTTTTACCAATAATAATCATATAATCTTCTATTTTAATTTTTGTAAAAACCGATTAATGATACTTCCATCATCGTAAATGATGATTTTAACGATGGCTTTTTAATAAAATAAAAAGCAGTGATTGAATTGAAATCTTGAACCTGACGAATATATGCAAGTCAAGAATATATATATTAAACTGACAAAAAAACAATAGTTAAACTAAAAATGTGTATTCTCAAATCACGCAAATAATACGTGTAAATATAGACAAAAAATCATATGCAAAATCATTGAAATAAACAATTTACATACCTGGTGTTTGTATTCGTTGATAGTGGTACGGGTTAATGCAGACTTCGTCTCGTTTCTGCGTAAACGCGTACTCGCAATGCTCGATTGCTCTCAGTTCGTGGTGCGATTGCAAATCTGGCCAACGCCAAAGTCGGCAATAGATCACGTGCGGCAAACCTTTGCCGCGCACTCCTTGGACACCGTTGTCTCCGACACCGCCTGGGCTAGGCCTTTCGTCCAAAAACAAAACATGAGGAAACGATCGATCAACAAATCAATCTTATCTTATCTTTCTCTAACATTAAAAAAACAGTCTTAATCGACGAATGAATTCGGCGAATTATCACACAACGCTCTCACGATCTGTTCTCCCTCTAATTAATAATTTTAACGTGATCGCATCAACAAGTAACCCAGAATTTTAAACAAAATTGAATCCTATATTGATCGCATAATTTGATTTGAAGAAACGGGAATTGCGAAACAATACTCTGCGTTTATTGACTGTACCGCAAAGAGGATAGGATTGCCGAAACATCAAAGTTCGGCGAGTTGGGCGGGAGTGCTAGGCGCGAAACCAAGTCGTAAAACTCTCTTTAATGTAAGTATAGTATGTATATGCTCCCAACCAACTTCCTTCTGCTTCCTTTGCTCTCTCTCCCTCTTCCTCATTCGCTTTACTGCATTCGCGTCTGCCGCGCCGGAAGCGGTGGCGCCTACTGACAAAAAGAAACTACTATATATTAGGTATAACATTTTTCTTTTGACAAGAGTAACTAACGAATCGACTCGTTTGATCGAAAATTGTAACGCATCGTTTCTTTTTCAGATCTCCGTTCCGTAACTTTCTTGAAATCAACTGACTCGAACGAGCTCGAGGGAGATTCACCGGAAACGGAGGAACTGATTGCTGTCAAATGAAGGAAACGCGAGGTGAATGATCAACGCGGAAGTGACAGTACAATTTTACCCTATTGGCAATTTTACAATTCTGCCACTCGGACGTAAATTTTC